CTGGGTACAAGGCGCATGAAGAGGGACCACAAGCACTGACCTGGGCACAAGGCGCATGAAGAGGGACCACAAGCACTGACCTGGGCACAAGGCGCATGAAGAGGGACCACAAGCACTGACCTGGGCACAAGGCGCATGAAGAGGGACCAGAAGCACTGACCTGGGTACAAGGCGCATGAAGAGGGACCACAAGCACTGACCTGGGCACAAGGCGCATGAAGAGGGACCAGAAGCACTGACCTGGGTACAAGGCGCATGAAGAGGGACCAGAAGCACTGACCTGGGTACAAGGCGCATGAAGAGGGACCAGAAGCACTGACCTGGGTACAAGGCGCATGAAGAGGGACCAGAAGCACTGACCTGGGTACAAGGCGCATGAAGAGGGACCACAAGCACTGACCTGGGTACAAGGCGCATGAAGAGGGACCACAAGCACTGACCTGGGTACAAGGCGCATGAAGAGGGACCACAAGCACTGACCTGGGTACAAGGCGCATGAAGAGGGACCAGAAGCACTGACCTGGGTACAAGGCGCATGAAGAGGGACCACAAGCACTGACCTGGGTACAAGGCGCATGAAGAGGGACCACAAGCACTGACCTGGGTACAAGGCGCATGAAGAGGGACCACAAGCACTGACCTGGGTACAAGGCGCATGAAGAGGGACCACAAGCACTGACCTGGGTACAAGGCGCATGAAGAGGGACCAGAAGCACTGACCTGGGTACAAGGCGCATGAAGAGGGACCAGAAGCACTGACCTGGGTACAAGGCGCATGAAGAGGGACCAGAAGCACTGACCTGGGCACAAGGCGCATGAAGAGGGACCACAAGCACTGACCTGGGTACAAGGCGCATGAAGAGGGACCAGAAGCACTGACCTGGGTACAAGGCGCATGAAGAGGGACCAGAAGCACTGACCTGGGCACAAGGCGCATGAAGAGGGACCACAAGCACTGACCTGGGCACAAGGCGCATGAAGAGGGACCAGAAGCACTGACCTGGGTACAAGGCGCATGAAGAGGGACCACAAGCACTGACCTGGGCACAAGGCGCATGAAGAGGGACCAGAAGCACTGACCTGGGTACAAGGCGCATGAAGAGGGACCAGAAGCACTGACCTGGGTACAAGGCGCATGAAGAGGGACCAGAAGCACTGACCTGGGTACAAGGCGCATGAAGAGGGACCACAAGCACTGACCTGGGTACAAGGCGCATGAAGAGGGACCACAAGCACTGACCTGGGTACAAGGCGCATGAAGAGGGACCACAAGCACTGACCTGGGTACAAGGCGCATGAAGAGGGACCAGAAGCACTGACCTGGGTACAAGGCGCATGAAGAGGGACCACAAGCACTGACCTGGGTACAAGGCGCATGAAGAGGGACCACAAGCACTGACCTGGGTACAAGGCGCATGAAGAGGGACCACAAGCACTGACCTGGGTACAAGGCGCATGAAGAGGGACCACAAGCACTGACCTGGGTACAAGGCGCATGAAGAGGGACCAGAAGCACTGACCTGGGTACAAGGCGCATGAAGAGGGACCAGAAGCACTGACCTGGGTACAAGGCGCATGAAGAGGGACCAGAAGCACTGACCTGGGTACAAGGCGCATGAAGAGGGACCAGAAGCACTGACCTGGGTACAAGGCGCATGAAGAGGGACCAGAAGCACTGACCTGGGTACAAGGCGCATGAAGAGGGACCACAAGCACTGACCTGGGTACAAGGCGCATGAAGAGGGACCACAAGCACTGACCTGGGTACAAGGCGCATGAAGAGGGACCACAAGCACTGACCTGGGTACAAGGCGCATGAAGAGGGACCACAAGCACGGACCTGGGTACAAGGCGCATGAAGAGGGACCAGAAGCACTGACCTGGGCACAAGGCGCATGAAGAGGGACCACAAGCACTGACCTGGGTACAAGGCGCATGAAGAGGGACCAGAAGCACTGACCTGGGTACAAGGCGCATGAAGAGGGACCACAAGCACTGACCTGGGTACAAGGCGCATGAAGAGGGACCACAAGCACTGACCTGGGTACAAGGCGCATGAAGAGGGACCACAAGCACTGACCTGGGTACAAGGCGCATGAAGAGGGACCAGAAGCACTGACCTGGGTACAAGGCGCATGAAGAGGGACCACAAGCACTGACCTGGGTACAAGGCGCATGAAGAGGGACCACAAGCACTGACCTGGGTACAAGGCGCATGAAGAGGGACCACAAGCACTGACCTGGGTACAAGGCGCATGAAGAGGGACCACAAGCACTGACCTGGGTACAAGGCGCATGAAGAGGGACCAGAAGCACTGACCTGGGTACAAGGCGCATGAAGAGGGACCAGAAGCACTGACCTGGGTACAAGGCGCATGAAGAGGGACCAGAAGCACTGACCTGGGTACAAGGCGCATGAAGAGGGACCAGAAGCACTGACCTGGGTACAAGGCGCATGAAGAGGGACCAGAAGCACTGACCTGGGTACAAGGCGCATGAAGAGGGACCACAAGCACTGACCTGGGTACAAGGCGCATGAAGAGGGACCACAAGCACTGACCTGGGTACAAGGCGCATGAAGAGGGACCACAAGCACTGACCTGGGTACAAGGCGCATGAAGAGGGACCACAAGCACTGACCTGGGTACAAGGCGCATGAAGAGGGACCACAAGCACTGACCTGGGTACAAGGCGCATGAAGAGGGACCACAAGCACTGACCTGGGTACAAGGCGCATGAAGAGGGACCACAAGCACTGACCTGGGTACAAGGCGCATGAAGAGGGACCAGAAGCACTGACCTGGGTACAAGGCGCATGAAGAGGGACCAGAAGCACTGACCTGGGTACAAGGCGCATGAAGAGGGACCAGAAGCACTGACCTGGGTACAAGGCGCATGAAGAGGGACCAGAAGCACTGACCTGGGTACAAGGCGCATGAAGAGGGACCAGAAGCACTGACCTGGGTACAAGGCGCATGAAGAGGGACCACAAGCACTGACCTGGGTACAAGGCGCATGAAGAGGGACCACAAGCACTGACCTGGGTACAAGGCGCATGAAGAGGGACCACAAGCACTGACCTGGGTACAAGGCGCATGAAGAGGGACCACAAGCACTGACCTGGGTACAAGGCGCATGAAGAGGGACCAGAAGCACTGACCTGGGTACAAGGCGCATGAAGAGGGACCAGAAGCACTGACCTGGGCACAAGGCGCATGAAGAGGGACCACAAGCACTGACCTGGGTACAAGGCGCATGAAGAGGGACCAGAAGCACTGACCTGGGTACAAGGCGCATGAAGAGGGACCAGAAGCACTGACCTGGGCACAAGGCGCATGAAGAGGGACCACAAGCACTGACCTGGGTACAAGGCGCATGAAGAGGGACCAGAAGCACTGACCTGGGCACAAGGCGCATGAAGAGGGACCACAAGCACTGACCTGGGTACAAGGCGCATGAAGAGGGACCAGAAGCACTGACCTGGGTACAAGGCGCATGAAGAGGGACCAGAAGCACTGACCTGGGCACAAGGCGCATGAAGAGGGACCACAAGCACTGACCTGGGTACAAGGCGCATGAAGAGGGACCAGAAGCACTGACCTGGGCACAAGGCGCATGAAGAGGGACCACAAGCACTGACCTGGGTACAAGGCGCATGAAGAGGGACCAGAAGCACTGACCTGGGTACAAGGCGCATGAAGAGGGACCACAAGCACTGACCTGGGTACAAGGCGCATGAAGAGGGACCAGAAGCACTGACCTGGGCACAAGGCGCATGAAGAGGGACCACAAGCACTGACCTGGGCACAAGGCGCATGAAGAGGGACCACAAGCACTGACCTGGGTACAAGGCGCATGAAGAGGGACCAGAAGCACTGACCTGGGCACAAGGCGCATGAAGAGGGACCACAAGCACTGACCTGGGTACAAGGCGCATGAAGAGGGACCAGAAGCACTGACCTGGGTACAAGGCGCATGAAGAGGGACCAGAAGCACTGACCTGGGCACAAGGCGCATGAAGAGGGACCACAAGCACTGACCTGGGTACAAGGCGCATGAAGAGGGACCAGAAGCACTGACCTGGGCACAAGGCGCATGAAGAGGGACCACAAGCACTGACCTGGGTACAAGGCGCATGAAGAGGGACCAGAAGCACTGACCTGGGTACAAGGCGCATGAAGAGGGACCACAAGCACTGACCTGGGTACAAGGCGCATGAAGAGGGACCAGAAGCACTGACCTGGGCACAAGGCGCATGAAGAGGGACCAGAAGCACTGACCTGGGCACAAGGCGCATGAAGAGGGACCACAAGCACTGACCTGGGCACAAGGCGCATGAAGAGGGACCAGAAGCACTGACCTGGGCACAAGGCGCATGAAGAGGGACCACAAGCACTGACCTGGGCACAAGGCGCATGAAGAGGGACCACAAGCACTGACCTGGGCACAAGGCGCATGAAGAGGGACCAGAAGCACTGACCTGGGCACAAGGCGCATGAAGAGGGACCACAAGCACTGACCTGGGCACAAGGCGCATGAAGAGGGACCACAAGCACTGACCTGGGCACAAGGCGCATGAAGAGGGACCACAAGCACTGACCTGGGCACAAGGCGCATGAAGAGGGACCAGAAGCACTGACCTGGGCACAAGGCGCATGAAGAGGGACCACAAGCACTGACCTGGGCACAAGGCGCATGAAGAGGGACCACAAGCACTGACCTGGGCACAAGGCGCATGAAGAGGGACCACAAGCACTGACCTGGGCACAAGGCGCATGAAGAGGGACCAGAAGCACTGACCTGGGCACAAGGCGCATGAAGAGGGACCACAAGCACTGACCTGGGTACAAGGCGCATGAAGAGGGACCAGAAGCACTGACCTGGGCACAAGGCGCATGAAGAGGGACCAGAAGCACTGACCTGGGTACAAGGCGCATGAAGAGGGACCACAAGCACTGACCTGGGCACAAGGCGCATGAAGAGGGACCAGAAGCACTGACCTGGGCACAAGGCGCATGAAGGGCACGACGCTGATCTTCTGAGCGAGCAGGTCTGCTTCAAACACCACGTGCAGGAATGCCGCCACAAAGGCGTCCAAGGGGCCCTGATGGGAGCGGGGTTCAGGTCCAGGGTTTTAAGTCCCACAGCCAATTCTCCTTCAGGGTTTCACAGCTGGCTTTGCTCGCAAGCTCAGGCTCTCGGGCTGACTGAATGCTTAGTGGAAATGCGCCTACTGGTTTCCGGACCGGGGAAAAGACAGGCAATCGCAAGGAAGATTCGCAATTGGTTGGTGCCTCGCTTCCTTTTGTTATAGTCACAAATTCAACTGCCCACCTCGTTGACCTTCTTCCCATTTGCTCCAGCCTCTTTCTCCTCCCCGCTTCCGCTTCCGCTCTTGCTCCCACCCGCACTCCCCTGCGCGCCCCCTTTCTCCCCCGTTCCGCCCTCCCCTGCGCCGTCCCCCAGCAGCGTGCGCACGTCCCGCGCAACCGAGTCCAGCTCCGCGGGGTCGCGCAGGCGCGCAATGAGCGCCTCGAACACGGGGCGCAGGTTGGTCGTGCGCACATCGTCCGCTATCGCCCTGGCGAGGGGGGGAAGGAGTGGGAAGATGGGCGGGGGGAGGGAAAGAGGGGAAGGATTGGGGGTTGTGAAAAGGAGGTATGAGAAGCGCGCAATCAACGCCTCAAACACGGGGCGCAAGTTGTGCGCACGCGCGTCATCGCCTTCCCAGGGTGTGGAAATGCGGACAGGCGCAGGAGATGCGCGCTAGGGGAACACCTGAGCTGCTAAAATTTTGGCGCTCAGCGCGGCGGTTACTTGCGTGCCACGTGGCATCGCTCACCTGAGAGCGCTGAAGAGATGCGTCGCGAGAGGAATCTCCTCTGCACTCACATCCACTTCTATCACTATCCGCATCGTGCCCTCGGTATTGTCACTATAGGCCCAATCAGAATCCCACAGCTAGGTCCTTCAATGCCAAACAATGCTCGGAGCAGACCGCTTTGTAGCGATTAGCGCTTAGTTGCAGGACAGCGGCATGTGGAAAACAGGAAAATAAATCGGTTGTGGGGCTTGCTGGCCACCTGTTCACCTAGAGGGGGTCGAGGCAATCCGCTCCAATGGAGTGCATCTCGTTACAAACACAATCTGTCGTACAATTCTGAAAAACATGTGCGTACAAATTATTGTCTGGACTTAGCTGCTCTTTCGTGTGAAAGGTTTTGTTACAAATTTGCTGGTGACCTGGCCCAATCTGTTTGCGGTGCATGGCGGAAAACAATGTTCAGCATTGGTTGATAAAATATCCGCCGCATGGCTTTCTTTCATTGGCTTTCTTTCCGCCAATGGTGGCACGTGGTAGCTCGTTTTTTCGTGCACATGCGATATTTTCGCCCAATCTCGCGCGACCTTTTGGGGAACAAGTCGCATCGCACCGCATCTACTGTAGTATTGAACAAGAGTGGCTGGGGTTGCTTCTCACCCGCACCTTGTTCTATGGAGTACCCCACAAAATGTTCCATTCCCAAACTGATTTGAGGGTGATTAGACGGTCCCAAGAGATCGCCCGGGTTTTCCTAAAACTGTGAGGTTCCATCGCAAAAATAACAAACCATTACTCAATGGAGGTTCCCAAGGCTGCCCTGCGAAGAAAAAGGCGGGAACAGCCTGCGTCAGCCAATCGGGAAATGCAGCAACCTCCGCCACTTCCTCCTGGCCTTCCCCAGCCCCCCGCCCCTCCCCCACTTCCCGGACCTTCCCCGCCTCTCCCCCCTCTCCTCCCCCTCCATTTCCCAAATTCCCCTCCCTTCCCCAGTACCCCACCCTCCCACCACCAGCCATCCTACCTCTGACCGATTTGATCAATCCTCTCGAGAAGCAGCGGCGTGTATGGATCGTCCCACCACTGCTTGTTGAGAGGATTGCAGGATTGATCCTAGCTCCTCAGCATTGCAGCAGGAGGTTGCCTGACAATTCGACCAGAACAGCTAGAAGCTCCATTGTCTAGCTTGCAGCTGGTTCCTGGAACCACGGGAGAGTAATTCGTTTTTTTTCTCTAGCGTGGCATTTCTACTCTCGTGCTAGTTGCTTGACCTCCCGCCATGGCTACGCTACGCGTTTCGTCATCCGCGACTGCCGCAGTCGGAATCTCGCCGTGTGCAATTTCAGCGACCAGGCAACAGCAAGCTCAGATCTCCTTCCTAAGCACCGTGATAAGTACTCCGCTAAGAGCAATTTCTTATCGAAGCGTAAACTCGCTCGCCTCGCCGGCATTGCGACCCAGAGCCGCCTTCTCGGACATTTCCTCCTCCGTTTCCCCCCGTCGCCATTCGCTCTTACGCGCGGAATCAGCGGTCGAGAATCGCGAAGCTTCGTGGAGCAAGCGATCAGCTGTTGTGGCGAGGAGCAGCGATGGCGCGACGGAGGGAGCAGCGGAAGCGGCGGCAGCCGGCGACGCCAAGAGCGAGCTCACGAAGACGATTCAGCTGGGATCGCTGTTCGGCCTGTGGTACCTCTTTAACATCTACTTCAACATTTACAACAAGCAGGTGGGTTTCGCTGCGAAATTGTGCTGTATTATAGGCAATTTAGCTAATTCGGCCTGTGGTATTTATTCAGCACGTGTTTCTTTTACATCTATGACAAGCCGGCGGATTTCACGGTAAATTGTGCCAATTGAAGTGTATACGGACAATAAGACGATTAAGGAGTAAATTACAAGATGATTTTTCTGGTTGTTCATTAAGGTTTAACGATCTCGCTTCGCTAAGTGTCCCCTGCCGTTTCGCGGATGTTTTTCTTACCCATAGCAGTTTCGGCGGCTTTTATGGTTGCCATTCGGCTCTTTTTGTTAGACCACCATTCGGTCCTTTCACCCATGATTTTACCGACTCTCCCGTCTCTTCTACCGCATGCGTCCTCAAGTGCGTGTCGCTGCTTCTCGTTAGTATCACATTGGCAAGGTACTCTACACACTGTTGATTCCATGCCAGACCACCACTTTTGTTTTTCTCCCCTACTTTAACCCGTTTGTATCACGCAGGTGCTCAAGGTGTTCCCGTACCCGCTCACAATCACGAGAATGCAGTTCGCCATCGGCTCTTTTCTCGCTGATCTTACCACCTCTCCCCTCTCTACAGGCTGTTCATTCCATGCCAAACCGCCTCATCCCGTTTGTACGCTGGTGCTCAAGGTGTTCCCGTCCCGCTCACAATCACAACGGTGCAATTCGATACAGGCCCTTCTATCCCTGTACCCGCTTACAAACCCTGTACCCTCTTCTTCCCCCGCGCAGGTGCTCAAGGTATTCCCGTACCCGCTCACAATCACGACGGTGCAGTTCGCTATAGGCCCCTCTACCCTGTACCCGCTTACAAACCCTGTACCCTCTTCTTCCCCCGCGCAGGTGCTCAAGGTGTTCCCGTACCCGCTCACCATCACAACGGTGCAGTTCGCCATCGGGTCGATCGTGGTGCTGCTGTCGTGGGCCACCAACATCGTCAAGCGCCCCACCATCTCCAAGGCGCAGGTAAGCGGCAGGTGAGACTCGACCCGCCATCTCCAAGGCGCAGGTAAGCGGCAGGTGAGACTCGACCCGCCATCTCCAAGGCGCAGGTAAGCGGCAGGTGAGACTCGACCCGCCATCTCCAAGGCGCAGGTAAGCGGCAGGTGAGACTCGACCCGCCATCTCCAAGGCGCAGGTAAGCGGCAGGTGAGACTCGACCCGCCATCTCCAAGGCGCAGGTAAGCGGCAGGTGAGACTCGACCCGCCATCTCCAAGGCGCAGGTAAGCGGCAGGTGAGACTCGACCCGCCATCTCCAAGGCGCAGGTAAGCGGCAGGTGAGACTCGACCCGCCATCTCCAAGGCGCAGGTAAGCGGCAGGTGAGACTCGACCCGCCATCTCCAAGGCGCAGGTAAGCGGCAGGTGAGACTCGACCCGCCATCTCCAAGGCGCAGGTAAGCGGCAGGTGAGACTCGACCCGCCATCTCCAAGGCGCAGGTGAGAGTCTTTGTCAAGCTGCCTCGCTATAGTCACATGCAGAGACTGATTAGGCTAATCACTCATCCCCCCCTCTCCCCATCCCCTCGCCCCCTCTCTCCTGCATCCCCCCATGCCTCATCCCCCTCGCCCCCTCTCTCCTGCATCCCCCCATGCCTCATCCCCCTCGCCCCCTCTCTCCTGCATCCCCCCATGCCTCATCCCCCTCGCCCCCTCTCTCCTGCATCCCCCCATGCCTCATCCCCCTCGCCCCCTCTCTCCTGCATCCCCCCATGCCTCATCCCCCTCGCCCCCTCTCTCCTGCATCCCCCCATGCCTCATCCCCCTCGCCCCCTCTCTCCTGCATCCCCCCATGCCTCATCCCCCTCGCCCCCATGGGCTCCCACACCCCCTCCAGCTCCTGGCGATCCTCCCTCTCGCCCTCGTGCACACCATGGGCAACGCCTTCACCAACGTCAGTCTGGGCAAGGTGGCCGTGTCCTTCACGCACACTATCAAGGCGCTCGAGCCCTTCTTCTCCGTGCTGCTCTCGGCTTTTGTGTTGGGCGAGGTGAGCTGGGCGTAGACTCCGTAGACGGGGGGAATCGACGGGGGGTGCGGAGCTGGGGTGGGGGAACGAGTTGGCAGTGGGGAGAGTTGGTTGGTAAACCATGCGCATTGTCCCTGCATGTATGCGCATTGTCCCTGCATGTATGCGCATTGTCCCTGCATGTATGCGCATTGTCCCTGCATGTATGCGCATTGTCCCTGCATGTATGCGCATTGTCCCTGCATGTATGCGCATTGTCCCTGCATGTATGCGCATTGTCCCTGCATGTATGCGCATTGTCCCTGCATGTATGCGCATTGTCCCTGCATGTATGCGCATTGTCCCTGCATGTATGCGCATTGTCCCTGCATGTATGCGCATTGTCCCTGCATGTATGCGCATTGTCCCTGCATGTATGCACATTGTCCCTGCATGTATGCCCTCTGATACCCGCACACCCCTCTTTCAGTCAACTCAAAACGAAATTACTACCACTTGGGGAGTTGGTTGCTGAACTGTGCGCATTGTCGCTGAATGCACTCTGATAATAACCGCACCCCCCTCACCTCCCCTCGTTCTCCTGCCCCTCTCCCCGCCACCAGCAACCCACTCTGCCTGTGGTTCTAGCGCTCATGCCCATAGTGGGAGGCGTGGCGCTCGCCTCTGCCACTGAAGCGTCGTTCAACTGGTGAGACCAGACTGGCAACGCCATGTCGTGCCATCTCATGCCATCTCATGCCATCTCATGCCATCTCATGCCATCTAATGCCATGCAACCCACCCTGCATGCGTGTGATGGTGGGAGGCGTGGCGCTTGCCTCTGCCACTGAAGCGTTATTAACTGGTGAGACCACCGTGCTGTGGTGTGTCAGGCCATGCCATGCCATGCCATGCCGTGCCATGCCATTCCATTCCATCTCATTTGATGCCGTGTCATGCCATGACATCATGTGGCCCCGTCCAGTCCAGCATGCGACATGCCTTTCTTGTCGCGCACCTTCCCCTTCACCATACGCTGGGCGGGGATCCTCTCAACCGTGGCGCCCCACCTCAAAAGTAGACTCCTCAGCTGTGGCGCCGCGCCCCTGCCTCACCGTCCCGTCCCCCCTCCCCATCCACTCTCAAATCTCGTGTCTCACCCACCCCTTCCTGCTTCCACATTCTTTGGTGTTCATGGCGAGCTTCCTGTCGGCCATGGCGTCCAACCTCACCTTCCAGTCTCTTCCGTCTCGCCGCACCCCTCCCTCTCTGCTCCGTCCTGCTCCTTATCCGTGGGTGCTCAGGGCGGGCTTCCTGTCAGCCATGGCGTCCAACCTCACCTTCCAGTCGCGCAACGTGCTCAGCAAGAAGCTCATGGTCAAGAAGGACGTAAGGCTGAGAGAACACCACTTGGTGGTGGTTTTAGCCATACGTGGCAGCGGGCTGTAAGCCTGTAAAACACTGTTGATTTAGAACAAAAAATCTTGCTCAGCAAGAAGCTGCTGGTCAAGGACGTAAGACTGGGGTGCTCACATTAGTAGCGCGAATGGCCAAGAAGCTCATGAATGGTCAAGAAGCGCGAAGCTCATGCCCCTCTCGCTCTTGCTCTTCCTCTCCCCCCACCCCCCCCACCCCCCCGCAAGTCCTCTCCTTTCGCCTACTGCTATTCCCCTCTTCTCTCGCCTTTCCCGCCTTCCAGTCCTCGCTGGACAACGTCAATCCCTTCAGCGTCATCGCCATCCTCTCCTCTCTCCTGCCACTGCACCCTCTTCCCTGCTCCTCCTCTCTCCCTCCGCCCCGCCAGTCCTCGCTGGACAACATCAGCCTCTTCTCCGTCATCACCATTCTCTCCTTCCTGCTGCTGCTGTTTCTCTCTCTCTCACCTTTGCTCCCCCCCCCCCGCCCCCCTGCACGATTCCCCCCGCCAGTCATCTCTAGACAACATCAACCTCTTCAGCGTCATCACCATCCTCTCCTTCTTCCTGCTGCTGCCCGTCTCGCTGCTCACTGAGGGCGTCAAGTTCACACCACAGTTCATGCAGGCGCAGGTATGCGATTAGCCTTTTATCCTCACTCCACTCCTCTATAACCCACCAAGTCATAACTCAATAAGCCCATTTAGCCAATTCAACGTCCCTCCACTATATTTCCTGTGCACGCTCCCGTTCTCCCCCGCTTCTATCCTCCCTGAACTCCCCGCCCTGGCAGGACCTAGAGGTGCTGAGGGAGTTTGGACCACCTCCGAATGGGCTCTACTCCCTACACGCTCTTACCCACCCACCACACCCACACTCTCTACCGGGTCTAGATGTGCAGAGGGTGTTTGTTCTGAGGCTCCTCAAAACTAAGTAAGCACGCTTTCCTTTTCTCCCTCACCGCCACACTCCCACCTGCCAGGGCCTCGACGTGCAGAGGGTGCTGGTTCGCTCCGTGCTTGCGTCTCTCTGCTTCCATGCCTACCAGCAGGTATGGATGCTTCCCGAGCCCACCAGCAGGTATGGATGCTTCCCGAGCCTACCAGCAGGTATGGATGCTTCCCGAGCCTACCAGCAGGTATGGGTGTTCTTCGAGCCCACTGGCAGGTATGGGTGTAGCGCACCGGCTTGTATGGGTGTTACATGCAGGCATGGGTGCTTCCCGAGCCTACGAGCAGGTATGGCTGCTTTTTGAGCCTACCACCAGCTTTGGATGTTTCCCGAGCCTATTAGCAGGTGTGATTCGTGATGGTGCCTCGTGCTTCGTGCTACGTAACCCCCACTCTTCCTCCCCGCCCTTTCTCTGTCTCTCCTCCACCTCTATCTTGCATGTCCCACACGAATTTTTATGCTTTTTCACGCTCTACTATTCCCTCACTCTCTCTCCTCACTCCTTCCCCTGGGCCTCGCTTCCCAAAGACTCCTGTATACAACTGAACCGCTATCTTCCACAATTTCCTGGCCGAATCTCAGCCTATCCAGTCCTCCGCTTCTCGCTGCTGGCCCCTCCTCCCGGCGTGTCTCCCCCGTCCCCTCTCTTCCCTGCCGCTCCTCTCTGCATTCTTTTCCCCCATTTCAGGCGTCCTACACGATTCTGCAGCCCGTCTTCCCTGTCACCCACTCCAGTCCCCCCTCCCTCGTCTTCCCCCCCCCTCCCCGCTTGTCTTTTCCCCTTCCCCCTTCCCCCTTCTCCCGTTCTCTCCCTCAAGTGTCCTCCTACATGATACTCCAGCGCGTCTCCCCTGTCACTCACTCTAGTCCTCAATCTTTCTGCTCTCCCCCCCCCCCCCCCCTGTCTGCTTGCTCTCTCCCCTCCCCTTCTCTCCCGCAGGTGTCCTACATGATCCTGCAGCGCGTCTCCCCTGTCACCCACTCTATTCCCCCCTCTCTCATCTTCCCCCACTTTTTGTTGCTTGCCTTTTCCCCTTCCCCGCTTCCCCCCTCTCCCGTTCTTTTTCTCAGGTGTCCTACTTGATTCTTTTGTGTCTCCCCTGTCACCCACTCTAGTCCTCTCATTCCCCTCTCACTCTCCCCTCCCCCCCCCCGTTTTTCCCCCAGGTGTCCTACATGATTCTGCAGCGCGTCTCCCCGGTCACCCACTCGGTTGGCAACTGCGTTAAGAGGGTCATCGTTATAGTCACATCCGTTTTGTTCTTCCGCACACCTGTCTCGCCAATCAATGCCGTCGGTACGTGCTTGCAATAGGCAAGCTTGCCCTCATTATAGTCACTTCAGCGTATTGTTAAGTCACAGCTGCCGTCTACTTCTGCACCCCCGTCTCGCCAATCAATGCTGTCAGCACGTGCCTCCTACAGCCTCGGTAGGGCCATATGTTCGTGGAAAGGGCCAATGTTCTAGTCACATCCGTGCTCTTCTTTTATGTTCATATGAATTCCATGTCTCTGGGTTATTCATGTGCCTTAGCCCTCTTCTCTTCCTCTTCCTCCCCATCCCATGTTCCCCCTTCCAGGCACTGCCATTGCTCTTGCTGGTGTCTTCGGCTATTCCCGTGTCAAGGCTGCCAAGCCCAAGGCTGCTTAGAGTCGTTGGCTGGTGGAGACTGTTAGAATGTCTAGAGAAAGTTGACTAAGGGAGAGAGGCCGAGGGTTACAAAGGTGGGAATGTACCCTCCAAGAACGGACCTAACTAAGGCTATAACAAATATACTGTACCTAGCATAGACAATTATATTTGTTGACACACCCCCTAGCGAAGATAATGGCAGTTCCTAACAAAGAAAAGTACACCAGGGCAACACTACTAGTCCGACTTTGATGAGTGTAATAAGAAAACTCAGGGCAGTACTACTAGTTTGACCATTGAGACAAGAGGCCACAAGGCCAGTCAGCAAGTGTAGCAAGACAAGCAGGTATAGTATGACTCAGGATACAAGGAGAGGTGCTGCTACTGAAGCTAGACCAAGCTGAGTAAAGAACCGCTGATGGTCACGAGACGCAAGTGCCTTGGTAAAGATATCAGTGGTGTTGGCCTCTGAGGCCAGCTGTGCAACACGGACCTGACCGCGCTGCTGCAACTCTCGATGCAGGAAGTACCGCAGCCAGATGTGCTTCGCTCTGCCCTCAAGTCGTGCCTCCTGACACAAGAGGATCATGGCCATGTTGTCAGCAAACAGGACCGGGGCAGACCTAGGCTGCTCACCTAAGTCAGTGAGCAAGAACGTCAGTCAGCGGAGCTCCTGAGCAGCCATGGCCCCAGCGTAGATCTCTGCCTCACAGCTGAACTGAGCTACAGACGACGACCTAGTGGACCTCCACAAGACTGCACCAGCACCAAGACTAAAGCAGTAGCCCTGAGTCGACCTGAGTGTCTCCAAGTCGTCTGCCCACGACGCGTCTGTGTGTGCAGTGAGCACCACTGGCTCCTGTCCTCCTAGCACAAGCCCCAGTCCTGATGTACTCGCCAGATACCGCAGTACCCTTTTGGCAGCCGACCAGTGGACTGGTCGGTGTCTGCCTGTCGCGACAAAGCGAGCCAGGAGACTGAGAGAGTACGCTAGATCTGGTCGAGTGCATGTCATCAGGTACATGAGGCACCCCACCAGCTCTGCGTATGGACCACTAGCCTCGACCGGCTCAGCCGAAAAAGGAGCAGAGAGCTTGCGATCCACAGGCAGAGGGGTGAGCTGTGCTGAGGAGAACTGGAGACTAAACCTCATGATGATCTACTGCACCATATGGGACTGTGAGAGTGTGATCGTGCGAGCGGCACGGTCACGAGAGATCTCCAAGCCCAGATAGCACCTCAGCTCCCCCAAGTCTGTCCATGTGTGTCTCCTAAGTAACTCGGCCTTCACTGAGGCCAGTGCGACTCTGTCGGGAGTAGCAAAGATAAGATCGTCTACGTACACTAGAATGTAGAACGGTGTCTGACCCGTGCGAGCAAAGAAAGAGGGGTCAGCAGAGGACGGAAAGAACTGCAGCTCAGCAAGAGTGGTGCGAAGCGTGTCGTGCCACTGACGGGGTGCCTGACGAAGGTCATAGACAGGACGGCGCAGGCTCCACTGGGTCCCAGGTGGGAAGGACCCAGAGAAGCCTAGAGGGCGCCGGAGGTAGATCTGCTCGTGCAAACTACCCTGCAGGAACGCTGTGGAGAAGTCGAGTGAGTGAAGCTCGTAGTCACACTGTGCGGCTATGTGAAGAAGGACCCGAAGAGAAGTCATCTTCGGGGTCGGGGAGAAGGTCTGGAAGAAGTCCACTCCCTCACGCTGACTGAAGCCTCTAGCCACGTAACGCGCCTTGAACTTCGGCGGCTCTCCAGGTGCGCGCTTCACGCTGTAGATCCACATGCCATCGACCACGTTCGCCCCAGGCGGGGGAAATGCGTCAACGTAGGTGCCAGTGGATCTGTAGGATGCCATCTCAGTCTCCATGGCCTGTATCCACTGGGCTGCCCAGGGCCCCGACACCGCCTCAGCGTAAGAGCGCGGAACAGGGATGTCGAGAGCTTCTGGGTCGCCCTCTGGGGATACAAGCATGGAGCAGAGATGGGGAACAGTGGCAGCAAGGTAGGCCAACTCGTACTGCCTGTCCTCTAGCACGTCACTGCCAAGGGCAGGTGCACCCCCGACGGACGGAGGACGGGTAGTACAAGAGACCAGAGCGGTAGCGTAGTCCAGGAGGTGGCTGGTAGCTAAGTCAACGACGGCAGCGACCAGCGCAGAGACAGACTCAGAAGGAGCACTAGGGTCAGTGACAAGCGACGCAAGCAGGCGCGACAGGACTAGACGAGCAGTGCGAACAGCGTCGGAGCGAGGAGGGGGGGACGACGGTAGCGACGACAGGGGAGGCAACGGGAGGAGCACGCGAACGAAGGAGCATAGGGTGGACACTAGGACGGGGAGAGACAGGACGAGCACCAGAGGGGCGACGAACCCAGTGGGGAAGAACTGGGGACCGGGGACGAGGGGGGACGGGGGACAAGTCAGGGGACGGAGGGGAGCACGGGGGGAAACGAACCGGAGAGGAGTCCGGAGGAAGAAACAATGGGCCGTAAACAGGGTCACGCATTGGAGGTGGAACGGGTGGGCTGACAAGGGAACCTGGAGCAAGACCAAGGAAACGAATGGCAGACTGCGGCGGCTCCTGTTGCGGCGACTGCACCTGCTGCTGCTGCTGCTGCTGCTGATGCTGCTGCCTGCCCGCTCCAGGACCTCCAGTGGCACCCCAGCTGCCACCCACATGCCGCGAACCAGCACCCCCAAGACTAGCTGCCTCGGTCTCACCACCTACAAAACCAGCACGCCTGGAGTCGGCACCCCCAGATTTCGCACCCCCAGAACCAGCACCCCTAGAGCCCACTGCTCCCTGCTGCTGCTGCTGTTGCGGCTGTAGAGTCTGCTGCGGCAACGGGTGCTGCTGCTGAGGCAAGGGAGCAGGCGGCTGAGGGGCCTTGGGGACCGAGGCAGGGGGAGGCTCCACAGGGACAGCAGGCGCACCCCCAGCAGCTGGGCCCCCAGAATCAGCCGACTCCCCTACACGGGGGGAACCGAGGGGAACTGAGTTGCGTGGGAGACACCAGACTGGGCTGGGCGGGGCGGGAGGGGTGCGGCAAGGGGGGCAGGGACAAGGAAGAGAGGAGGAGGAGGCACAGGAGTGCTGCGGTGCGGGAAGCGCCGGTAGTAGGGGAGCGTCTCGTCGGAGGTGACGTCACGAGAATGATAAAAACGGTGGTGGGAGGGGTGGTAGAACAGCCAGTCAGAGGCGTCAAGCGAGAACCCCAAGAAGACACAAGGAAGAGTGCGGGCTGAAAGCTTGTCCGCGGCAGTATCGCGGACGTGAGCAAGGCTGCCCCAGACGTGGAACGCAGACGCGTCACCAGGAGACCCGGTCCAGAGGAGGGTCAGCGAAACCTGTGGTCGCAGGGAGTGCGGCCACATGTTAAGCTGGTGAGTAGCGTAGTGCACGGCGAACGGCCACAGAAAATGGGGTGCACCGGCGTGGACCATGGAGGTGCGAGCCACCTCTATGATCAGGCCGATGTGTCGCTCAGCAACCCCATTGTGCTGTGGGGAGTCCGGCAGTGTGTACGTCTGGTGAATGCCCTCCGCACGACAGAACCGTCCAAGAGTGCCAGAGGCGAACTCGCCACCGCGGTCAGAGTGTAAGCGACCTACAAACAGTCGGTGGGCGGTGCGAACAGTGAGAAGCCACGGGAGGAGAACGGTAGGCACGTCGGCCTTCCGCTCCAACGGGAAAACTGTGGTGAACCGCGAGAAGTCGTCAACGACGACTAGGAAGTAGCGCTCCCGACTGAGACCATGGACCGGGGCAGGGCCCCAGACGTCCATGTGCAGTGTCTGCAGCGGTGCTGTGGTAGGAGGAAACGAGGAGTGAGGGGCCGCACGCTGCCGGCCCTCGACGCAGGACGTGCACAGTGGCGCTACCGACGGAGGCAAGGCGGGGAGCGACACAGGGAGACCAGTGACTAGACTGTAGTGGGACATGTGCCTAAGAGGCGGGAGTGCAGGGTGACCTAAGCGGTGGTGCCACAGAAGGGTCGGGTGAGCTAGTGAGCGACAGGAGTAGGATGCGGCGACCTCGGCAGACGCAGCAGTGAGCAGGGACTCAGTGTGCAAGGTAAAGAGACCTGATCCAGGGTCACGCTCAAAGGTAGCTAAGTGTCGACCGGTGACGACGGAGCAAGACCGGCCAGGGGGGAACCTGCACCTGCGGGCCGAGGTGACGACAGTAGAGGTCGTCCAGGCGGCGGAAGCAGCGAGCGGCGGTGTGCCCCACGCGCCCGCACACCTGGCCTGCCTGTGGATCAATCAGCAGCTGGTACGTGCAGGTTACCGCGCTACTAGAACCACCAGCACCCTAACTCACAGAAGAGCCACGAGATCCCTAGGGCACCGACAGCCCTGGGCCCTGACCCCCACGGCCTCCACGACGACTACCACCCCCAGGGCCCGCCGACCCCCAAGACTGTTGCAGCTGCTGCTGCTGCGGATGCTACTGTGCAGTCCCCGACTCCGACTGACCACCCTCTCCGTCCGCACCCTCACCCCCTCCACCCGCTGCTGCCAACCCCCCATGACCCTTGCCCCCTTTGTCCTTGCCCTTGCCGCCAGATGAGCGACCGGGGGCAGAGGTAGCCGCTGATGTCTCAACAACAGAGGCGGAAGCAGGGACTGTCACTGGGGAGGGAGCGCTGCTCTGAAAAATAGGGACCGCCGGCGCGCCAGTGGAACCGGCGATAGCGCGGAGGCGGTCCTCTATCTCAGTCAGGGAGGTGGAGAAGAGGTCAATGGTGAGCTCAGAGGGGTGACGAGCAAGGAGCGCGTCACGGGCAGGGGCTAGGCGGTCAGGGAGGCGGGTGACAAGGAAGTAGATAGTGGCGAAGAGGGGGGGCGGGGTGAGCGCTAGCTGGGCCTCAGTACAGGCCGCACGCCAGTGAGCCTCGAGAGAACGTAGGTGCTCGACTAAGTCTGCTACAGTGGTGAACGATGCCAGGTTAGGGTGGAAGAAAGGGAGGAGGAGGCGACCAAGGGTGCCAGACGAGGGGGTGGAGTACCTAGCTAGGATAGCCAGCTAGAGGGCACGGGCTGACGCAGCACCCACAAAGTGGGAGTGCTCGGCAACCGGCAGGCATCTGAGGATGGCGACTCGAGCAGTGGCGTCGCGAGACGCCCAGTTAGAGTAGGCAGTACGAGCAGCAGCGTGCACAGCCTGCTGCTCAGACATCGCGTCATGAGCAGGAGCGCCCGGGCGAG